GCGAGGCGGTCTACCGTCCGGCGGCGGCGGTCTACCGTTCGGCGGCTGAAAAGGGGTAGACCAGTCTACCGCGGTCTACCAAGTCTACCGGTAGACTGCAGCCGTAGGTTCATCACGGTCTACCGGTAGACTCGTGGTAGACTCGTCTACCAAACGGTCTACCGTCTACCCGGTCTACCGGTAGACGGTAGACGGGCCACCCCTCAGGCAGGATCCAGGAAGGTGCGCGCGCCGTCTGCGCGTCTCCCATCTGGAAACCGCCGACTTTTTCGGCGACTTTGGAAAGGAACACGAGCATATCTCTCAACACGACACGTCCGCGCTCATTCTCACTCGGCCGCGCTGCCCTTTTGCTTTGGCCGGCGCTTGCCGCCCGTCTTCTTCTCCCGCGCCGCCGTCTTGCGCCGGAGCTCGCTCACCGTCGGCGGCGCGGCGGCGGCGCGTGCGCTCAGCGCCTCCCCGAAGAGGCCGCCGCCCTCCGAGCCGCGCTCAATGGCGGAGCGGAGGAAGCCGAGGGCGGCGACGTTGTAGCCCAGCCGCGCGCGCTCGGCCGAGACGCGGGCGGACAGCGCGGCGTGGATCGGGCCGAGCAGGTCGAGCAGCGCGCGCGAGGCGACGAGCGGCTTGTGGTGCACGCGCAGCAGGTAGAGGATGGTGCGTGCCTGCCGGGGGCGGGGAGGGCGGGCAGCCGGGTGGGGAGGGTCAAGGGAGGTCCGGGCGGGGGGCGGGGGGGGGGAGGGGGGGGCGGCGGGGGGGATGACGGCGGGCGGCGGGGAGGGAGGGGCGAGGAGGAGGGTCGCGCGCCATGAGCTCGACGGGCGGCGCCTCTGCGAGGAGGGGCAGGAGGCGCACGAGCAGCCGGCGGACCGCGTCGAACGGGAGGAGGAGCAGCGCCTGCTCGAGCTCGGCGGGCCGGACCGAACCGAGCGCGCGGAGCAGGTACGCGCCTACGTCTTGTAATCCCGTGTAATCTCGTGTAATCTCGTGTATTCTCAGGTAGGCGCCTTCGTCGTGAAAGCGCCGACGGCAGGGCGTCAGTACAGAGTCAGCGACTGGAGCGTGAGGCAGTGTAATCTCGTGTAATCTCGTGAGGCAGTGGAGCACAGCGTGTGTGCGTGATCGGCCTAGCTCGGACACCACTCGACCGCACGCACCGATGTGTATGTGCTAGCTGGGGCACGGGACACGCTTTCGGCTCTCTCGGGGAGGCGCCGGGAGTGAGGCCGAGCAGCAGCAAGTTGGGCACGAGGGTGGGACGCGGCCGGTCGTCGTCGGGCGGGGCGGCGGCGTGGCGCGCGAGGGCCGCCTCATACTCCGCCGCTCGCTCCTCCTCGCCGTCAAGTACCGAGAGCGCCTATTGCGGTCCAAGGCCGCCCGCCTGCTCAGGCCGGGCCCCGCCCGCCACCCACCGTTCCACCGAGCAGTGCGGGAGCGCCTCTAGCACCCGCTCCGCCCCCCGCACCGACTCGGCCGTCCTCCTCCCCGCCGCGCCCGCGCCGCCCTCGCTCCGCCCGTCGACGCCGAGCGTCGCCGCCTCCTCCTCCTCCGCCTCGGCGGCCTGCTGCGTCTTCTCGAGCGATGCGTCGAGCGCCGCCTCGACCTCCGCCTCCCGCTCCTCCTCGAGGAAGACCTGCGCTCGAGGAGCCGGCCGTGAGAGTAGGCGAGATTGTGATCGCGGGAGCCCTCTCTGAGAGGGCGCGCCCCGCCCGCAGCCACGCCGCGACTCTCGCCGCCCTCCGCCAAAGGCCTGCCCCCCGCCGCGAATCACCGCCACGCCAGGCTAAACCTAGCGCCCTCGCACCGGCCTCGCACCGGCCTCACGCCCTCCCCCCCTTTTCCCCCCTTTTGCCCCCCCCCCCCCCCCCTCCTCCTCGCCTGCTCGTCGGAGCGGCTCCACAGCCGGAGCGAGCGGTCGCGCGAGGCGGAGGCCAGCAGGCCGCCGTCCCGCGAGACTGCGAGCGACCACACCTCGGCGTGGTGGCCGCGCAGCGCGTGGATGAGCTGGTACGTGTCGGCGTCCCACAGCTTGATGAGGCGGTCCTGCACGGTGGGGAGACGCGCCGAGGGCGCGTCAGAGACGGGTGCGGCGCGACCCCTTTGCGCGTGGCCGTGCGCCAGGCGCGGCCTTGGGGGCGCGGGTTTCGGGGCGCGCTGCACGGCAGGGCGAGGCGCGGCGGCGCGCCTTGCCCGCCGTGAAGAGGTAGTGCGTGCGAGGCACCCACGCGAGGGCCGTGACCGGCTCGGTGTGGGCGCGGAGCGAGCGGTGCATGTCTCCAAAGTCGAGGCCCCACAGCTTGACACTCTTGTCCGCCGACCCGGACGCGCAGATCGTGCCGTCCGACGAAACGCCGACGCAGAGGACGGGCAGCTTGTGCCCGTAGAGAGTGAGGTGCACCTTGAGCGAGTCCCGGTGGATCACGCGCACCGACGCGTCGAGCAAGCCGACGAGCATCTTACCGCCTACTCAACTCGCCGCGCGGTCACCCCCTCCACGACCCTCGAACAGCCTCGCGGCAGCCGGCGGCGGCGGCGCGCCGTCTGGCGAGAAGCGAGCGCACATCGCGTCATCGCCGAGGTCGGCGCTGAGCTCGGGCGCGAGGCTGGCGCCGCCGCCGCCGCCCTCCCCGACCACGCTCCACGTGGCGACAGTCTTGTCCGCGGACGCAGAGAGCAGCGCTGCCCCGCCCGGCTCGACCGCGAGCGACCAGACAGCGCCGCTGTGCGCCGAGGCATTCTCGTGCACGAGCTCGCCCGTCGCCAGCTCGTACAGCTGCAGGCCACCTAGCCCGCCCACGCCCGCCCAAGGGTGTGGCCGAGATGCGCGTGCCGTCGGGCCGTCCCGTCGCCCGGCGCGCATGGCAGGGGCGAAGCAAAGGCTCGGGTCGGGGGGGGGGGGGGCGTGGCGGGTCGAAGCCAAAGGCCCAAAGGGGGGAAGGGGGGGGGGGGGGGAGGGGAGGAGGGGGGGCAAAACGGGGAGAGACCCACCCGACTTTGTCCCGACTGCAACCAGTTTGTTGCCCGCGACAAATGCAACGGAAAGGCCGTAGCCACACGCGAGGGAGCGGACGCACTGGCGCGAGCCGAGCGACCAGACGCGCGCCTACACGTGCAAGGCGCCGGCTCGCGCCGAGTCTTGGCCGAAGGCGCGAGGGGTGCCCAGGGGTGCAGGGCTGGGGTCCAGGGGTGCAGGGCTGGGGCCGAGGAGGCCGAGGGCAGCGGAGGTGCGAGAGGAGAGTGGGGTTGGGGAGGGGAGGGGGAGGGGGCAAGGAAAGGGGGGGGGGGCAGGGAGAGGAGAGGGCAAGGGGGGGACGCGGTGCTTGTAGCGGCAGAGTGCACGCACCTCCCCATCCGAGGCCGAGGCGAGCAGGCCGCCATCTCCGGACAGCGCCACAGCGCGCGGCTCGTGCTTGTGGCCCGCGGGCGGCGCGCAGGCGCCAGGGACGGGTACCGCCGTCCGCGCGCCCGTGTCCACTTCCCACACGGCTGCAGAGTTGTCGCGCTGCGCGACGAGCACGCGCACGGCCGGCGGCGGCGCGCTGCCCCGCTTGCGGCTCGCCTTGGCGGCGGAGGGTGCGGCGGCCGGCTTGCGCGGCGGCAGGAAGGCGAAGGAGTGCAGCTTGTGCGACCCGCGCAGGCCGCAGAGCGGCTCGAGTGCAGCCAGAGCCGCCTCGTCGCCCGCCTCCTCCGCCCCGCCCGCCTCGCCCTCCTCCTCCTCGCCCTCCTCCTCAGCGGCGGCCCCGCCGGCGAGCCTCTTCTTCTTCTTCTTGGTGCGCTCCACCCGCCGCTTGCCCGCCCTCTTCAGCCGCTCCCCACCGTCCCGCGCCCGCCACAGCCCCATCGTCCGGTCGCCGTACAGCACGCCGACGATGCCCCCGTCCGCCGAGCAGCTGATCTGAGCCACCTTTGCGCTGCTCGTCGTCGCGATCGACCCGCGAAGCGTCGCGTGCGCCGCCATCCAGAGAGGATCGACGCCGACCGGCGTCGCCTCCTCGGTCGCGCCGTCAGCGGCGCCGCTCTCGCCGCCAGCACTGCCAGCCACCTCTGCCTTTGCGATGGTCCTGCGCGCCGAGGCGCATGTGGCGGCTGAAGCGAGCACCTCTCCCCCTCCCGTCTGTCCCGTGTCGACCCCGCTCGCTCCGCGCGCGCTCTCCGCGCGCTCTCGGTGTGCTCGCTCTCCTCCCCTCCCCTCCTCCCTCTCCTCTCGGCAAGCGCGCACCAGAGCAGCAGCTCGCCGCCAGCTCCGCCAGTGAGAAGCCTGCCCGCGCTCTCGTCCATGTCGACGCTCCAGAGCTCGCCCGCCGGAGAGGCGCAGGTCTGGACGCAGTGCTGCGTGTGCAGGTCCCACAGCCGCAGCGTCCCGTCCTTGGACACCGACGCGAGCGCGCCCAGCGAAGCGATCATCGCCACGCCCGTCACGGGCCCTCGGTGGCCGCGCAGCTTGCAGACGCCAGCCTCGGCGACGACATCCCAGAGGACGACGAGGGTGTCGGCGCCGCCCGAGGCGAGCTGCGAGCCGTCGGGCGCGAAGGCGAGGCAGAGCACCGCCGAGCGGTGCCCGGAGAGGGCGACCCGCTCCTCCTCGAGCAGAGGCTCACGTCCGGCAACAGGCCACAGCCGGACAGTGCCGTCTGAGTAGCCGACTGCGACGGCCTCGCCGTCGGGAGACAGCTGCAGCGCCGTCGTCTCGGAAGCGGTGGCCGCCACGGTGGGTCGCGGTCGCATGCGCCGCTCGGTGCCGCCGCCGCGGAGAGGCCACACGCCGACCGACTCGAGCATCGGCGTCAGGATGGAGCGGCCGTCGGCGCTGGCGGCGATGCGGGCGCCGCCAGACACAGCCACGGCCCACGCGGCCTCCTCGGTGTACCGAAAGTAGGAGCGGACCATGGTGGCTGAGGACGGCGGTGGCTGGCAAGCGGCGACAGGCTGGGCTCGTCGTCGCTTGAAGGAGAAAAACCTCGCTTCAGGAGAAAAACTCCAGAAAGAATTTAAACAAAACAACTCTGGAATTTTCTGACGAGAGAAAATGGATATTTTTCTTTCTTTAGCCGGAGGGACGAAAAAAAACTGTTCAAGTCTTAAAGGCAAAACACAACGCTCTGCGGTTGGTGCACCCCCCACACTGACACATTCCCCTCATCCCCTACCCTTGGCTGAGCACATCTACCTGCGAGCTAGCCTCTCCGCATTTTCTCTTCCAGTCATCCGCCCGCGCCGCGCGCCATCTCTGGGCGTCTAGTGCAGCCACTGACAGAGCTATTCCGAAGGAGTGGTCGACGCCTCGCCTAGAGTTCGGATGGACTTGCGCACTGCTTAGCCCTGAGGGGGGAGTGTGTGTGAGGTGGTGTAATGTCGTCCCGTTTCAGGCGGCAGGTCAGGGGATTAGCCGGGAGGATTCGGCAGCTCAGCCGGGGGCTGAGCGTCTGCAGGCAGCCTTCCGCTCGCGCCGAAATTCACAGCCCTCCCGGGCCGACGGGGTGCTCCTTGGATCGGGCCCCGCTCCCCGCTTTTCCTGTACCTGGACTGTCCGGGTCAGGAGGGTGAGAGTATTGGGTGGGCGAGGGCAGTACATCTGGCGGGTGGGGATTGAGGGACAGCAAGAGGGCTGATTGTCGAGGCTGATTGGGGGGTCAATGGGCGCGGGCGGCGCTTCGTGGTCCTGGGCGAGCAGGGGCAGTGGTTAGGAGTCTTGGGCCTGGAGATATGAGGATTGTCGAGATGTCATGCGAGAGCGGTAGGTGGGCGAAGGTAGCGCGGCTGGAGAGTGGTGTCCGAGGGACAATGATGAGTTGTCAGTTGGGGCGCGAGACGCGCGGGACAGTGTCGAAGGCGGCCAGTGAGGTAGGGTTGGCTTTGAGCAGTGCAGCGAGTGTGTAGTCAAGCGTGGGAGCGGGGCGCGCGAGCACCGGATTTTTTTGCTGTGCGGCATTCGCAGTGGCGGCGGTGCCCACTGCCCGCGCCTCCTGGAAGTCCCTTTCCAGCTGCTCAAACGAGCTGCCGGCGAGGCTGTCCGCCTTGTCGGTCTGTCGGCGGGGGAAGGGTGGGCGGGGGTGTGTGAGATGGGGACGGGCCGCTATGGCGGCCCGCGCGCGCGACGATGGCGCCCGCGGACCTCCGGCATCGCCCCCGGACGTAACGCCCATATACACGCGAAAAAGAGTTTTTTCCTTCGCCCACGCACGATTCACACGATAGAGAAATCAAACTTTGTGGGAGCTGATTCGCTTCAGTCCGGCAAGTTGTGCACCATGATGCTTCGCCAGAAAAGAATTCACCGTGCTAGAGAATTCACGGACGGAGAGGACCGACTCGGGTTGGGGCACCCGATCGGCCGGCCGTGAGGCATCCACGACGAAAGCATGCGACGAGGTAGGCGATCGAAATCCATCCTGCTGACATGCCCGAGCCAGTCCAGGTAGGTAAGTAGGTAGAAAGGTGAAGAACAGCCAGGCTCGGACTGGACACCAACGCGGTATGGGTGGACGCCGGACAGACGGTGCCGTTTTTTCTTTTTCCGAAGCAGAGCCAACCTTGAAGCTTCGTCGGCCGAAGTCGATGTCGGCCTTCAAAAAGGCCTGCGCCAAACTCCGAGCCTTCCACGCTTCGCTGTTCAGCCCGTTGTTGCGGCGGCAGCAGCGCGTCCGGTGGAGGTCATCCACCGCCGCTGCCTCGCCGGTGGAGGCAGAGGCGTCAAACTCTTTGCCGAGGGAGGGGAGCATTGCGCCAGAGAATTCCCGCGTTGAGGCGTCGCGCTCGGGGATCGATAGAGGCAGTCTCGCCTAGGCTTCGGCGTTGAAGTGAGAGAGTGAGAGAGTCGTAGCTTGTGGGTCGATGGGATGGATATGCACACTGTTGTCTGGCACCATGTGCATGATCCGGGGCACGAAGCACGTTTGGCCCTATTTACAAGGTACCCCGGCAGATGGCACACAACACACACACGCGCGCACGCACCGCCCGTCCCGCCGACGGCGACGCGCCGGCCGCACTAGCGAGAGAGCCGAGGCGCGGAGGGCCCCCGCAGTGAAACCACCCGAGGCGCGAGGGGGTGTACGCCAACTCAGGGTGTGTGGCAGCCAGCTGGCTGTGTGTCTTGTGAGCCTGTTTGTGTCTGTGTGTCGCTCGTGCGTGCCGTCATCATCTGTCCAGCGTCCACCCATACCGCGTTGGTGTCCAGTCCGAGCCTGGCTGTTCTTCACCTTTCTACCTACCTACCTAAGTGCAAGTGCATTCCCCAATAAAATACCGGGGGCCCGGACCTGTCGGACCTTAAGACAGCGTTGTCGATCCCTGGGCGAGGGTGATGGCGTCCCCGTCGGGAAGGGCTGTCTGCAGTGGTTGGAGGTCTACCGTCACCCCGCCAGCGGCCCGGCGGGTGGTTCGGCTTAGACCTCCCCACTGTCTGTTGGTGTGCTAAACCGTAACCCGGGGACGGCTCTCCCATAGCAGCCCATAACATGTTATGGGTGTTATGGGTGTTATGGGCCGGCTTGTAAGGCACCTGGTACGTACCATAACAATAACTGTGTCCGGGGACAAGCACAGATCCAAGTCACATCATTCACCTCTCAAGCCCATCTCTAGAATTTGAGTTTATTGACTTTTGTGTGCGGCGCCACGCGCGGCTATTTCTTTGAAAATCTCCCCGGGCTCCCGGGGGCTCTCAAACGCCATCACGGAGAGGCCTCTGCGGGCTCTCGGGGCACAGGGAGACGGAGCAGCCCGCGTCGTCCTCGGCGCCGGCGCGCTGGAGGTGCAGCGGCCGCAAGGCATTGCGCGCAGACGCGCAGGCGTCGAAGAGAGCCAGATCTCAGCCGGCGCGTCTCTCCCGCGCGGCAGTCCGGGAAGGATCGATGGAGACTCGCAATCGGCGCGTGTTGCGCACGCTTGACAGCGGTGGCGCCTCGCGACAAAAGAATTCTGAAAAGCCCCCGAAAAGAATTCGTGCCGCGTTACCGTCCTTGTTTGCGTTGAGGAGCGAACCGAGCCGCCGGGTATCCCGCTGCCTCGCTGGGCCAGAAGATCGGCCCGCGAGGTGGGTGCTACAGCCGAAATTTCAACTTTGGGACAGCTGTACCCATGTGTCCTCGCTCACACCCTCGCTTCCCGCGTTTCTCTACAGCACCCTCTCGTCTCCTCTAGGGTACCGAGGCTCCACCCCCCCCCTTGGCGCGTCGTGTTTTTCGTGCGAAACCAGCGCGATCTCGGCGGGGCGTCAGCGCCTCTCGGAGGGGCATCATGCGCTCCCGGGGCCGCCCGACGGCGCGGGCCTCTTGCCGATGGACCCGGCCGAGGTGCCCAACCAGTTGGAGTCGCGCCGACGCGCTGCGGCGACCACCAGCCAGCTTTTCAGCGAGGCCGAGCACGGTGCGTCGAGAAAGCTGACACTCTCCGGTCCATCCGGAATTTTGTCGTTTTAGTTAGCACTGCTGCTGCAGACAGGGCCCGCGTGACCCCATGCCCTTCCCAGATCTCGTGTCCTGAGGCTTGGCGCCACCCCGGTGGCCGCCCACAGGTGGCTGACGAAGCGCCACTCATCGCTGCTTTCGCGCGCCTGCTCCACAGAGGGCTCCTGCGGCTCTCCCTCGTCGCGTGACCGCCGCCGACAGCATCTGCTCGGTCGTGCCCGCCAGCGCGGAGCTGCGCCACGTCGAATTGTTCGGCGGCTCGACCGCCGGCGCGCCCATCCTCGCCTCCTGCGCGCCTCACACTCAGTTTTCACCTTGCGCGCGGCCGACAAAGTGAGCTCACGACCTGGGGATTCGCGCGCTGTCCCAGAGCGCAGTTGCGCAAATACCTGCGTGGCCGTCGCCTGATGTGCCATTTGTAGTGCCAGTCCGAGCCAGAAAGAAAGAAAGAAAACAGACAACCCAGGGAGGGATGGGCCAGTTCTGCTGTAAGCATGGTATAATTCTTTTGTTTGTGGTGTACCTGTGTTAGTGCCAGTGCGCGCCAGTCCTGTGCCCAGTGTTGTGTGAGAGAGTTTTTTTTGCAAAATTCTTTTGTTTCGCACCAGTCCCGTGCCCAGTCCTGTGCCCAAAGAAAGAAAGAAAGAAAACACACAACCCAAGGGAGGGATGGGAGGAACGGCACGCCGCCACCACACAGGGATTTTAAGGAGAGGAGTGTGGTGCGCTAGCCGTCGCCCACCCTGGGGAGTCTGCCTCTTCGTATCTCTTCCCAGTGTTGTGCGAGGCGCGTTGAAATTTCTTATGTTTCGGCGACTCTGACTGAGGAAAAAGTCCATGTACTGGTGTCCGACTTCAGAGTCGGAGCGAGAGCGCGGCGCAAAACCCGGCAGGCATCTACTTCCCCTCACCTGGGACCCGCCCTCCGAGGCGGAGCGGAAGCGCGGGTACTCACGCCTTGGCGTGCCACTGACCGACCTCGACGACGCGCCAAAGGAGCGGTTTGGGGAGTGGAAGCGGAAGCAGCAGGCGCAGCAGCACGCTGCGCTGCACGGCGGCCGCGTCCCCTTCTTTGGGCGCAGCAACCGCGCCGTCCAGATCCTGGCGGTCGTCTTCCTCGTCTCTCTCTCGACGATCGGCTGGTTTGGGACGCTGTGGGGCCTCGCCGACGGAACGATCGGCTCGAACGCGGGCGCGACGGAAGGGAGGCCCGGGCGCACGGCCGTGCGAAGACGCGCCCTGAGCCCCGACAGCAAGGCTGCCGGGGCTGGAGGGGGCGGGCGGGCAGGCGGGGTAGGCGGGCGCAAAAGGGGGGGGGGTGGGGGGGGGCTAAAAGCCTTTCCTCCTCCTCCTCCTTTCCTCCTCCTCCTCCTCCTCCTCCTCCTCCTTTCCTCCTTTCCTCCTCCTCCTCTTTCCCTCCTCCCCCCCCCCCCCCCCCCTCCCCCTCGCCCCTCTCATGACCTGTCGCCCCTCCCGCCGCCCCCTGCCGCACAAGTCTCTGCCGGTGCCGAGGACGAGGAGCTCCTTTCTGCCGGCGCGGGGAAGCGATTCGTGCGCCCCCCCCCCCCCCCTTCCCAACCCTCACCGGCAGACCTTGCCCTCATTTCCAGAGGGAGATCGCCGTCTATGAACCATGTGACAATGCACAGGTCCACCTCACCCTCGCCGGCACGGACCGGCGGACGCGGCTGCTGCTCCCCTCCGACGCAGACGAGGCGAGAGATGCGCCGAGATGCGCCGAGATGCGCTGCTGGAGTCACACATACTCTCGCTTGATCACTCCAGATCAAACGACCGGGTAGTCCCCCCCCCACCCCCTCCCTCCCGTTGTAGCAGTAGTCAGCAGCGCCTCACTTCAAGATCTGTCATTCTGACGGCCTCGTGTGGAAGGCCGAGACTGCGAGACACTCCTCCATAGAGCTCCTCTCTCGACCCTGCTGACACCTGCACTAGGTCCCCTCGTGGGAGAGGTTCGTGCGAGCCGTCGGAGGCAGGCTCGGGGTCGACCCAGGCGACATCTCGAGGCGCCGAGAGAGCGCCGAGAGAGCGCCGAGAGAGCGCCGAGAGAGCGCCGAGAGAGCGCCGAGAGAGCGCCGAGAGAGCGCCGAGAGAGCGCCGAGATGTGCACAGGAGGAGGTATGGTGTTAGGTGTTAGTAGTAGAGCAAACTGCAGCGGCTCTTCACTGTAGGGTCGAGACGCTCCTGGGCGAGGAGGTCGTGTCGACGGATGACCTGATCGACAACGACAACCTGCACGTCTTCACGGAGAGGCGCGCCGCGGCGGACAGGCGCCCCGCCCCCCCGCGGCGTCGTTAGTGGCAGAGGGAGCTCAGAGCAGAGAGAGAGAGAGAGAGAGAGAGAGAGAGAGAGAGAGAGAGAGAGAGAGAGAGAGAGAGAGAGAGAGAGAGAGAGAGAGAGGCCTTAGCCTCGTATGTCCATGTGCCCGCACCCTCCTTTACCCCCTCTTCCCCTTTCCCCCTCCCTCGGCTCTACTCCTCCCTCCCACCCCCCACCCCCCACCTCCCTCGACCCCTCCTCGCCCCTCCTTGTGTCCTCCGCTCCTGGCACCCCTCTACACACCTCTCCTTCGCTTCTTCTCCTTTCCTCGCCGCCGCCTCTCCTCCCTCCGCCTGCTGCCTCCCGATTCAGTTTCCTTTTATGCCCCCTGAGAGCGGCATTTTTCCCAGTCGCCCCCCCCCCCCCCCCCGGCGCCTGCGGTAGCAGCACCGGCGGTGCTAGCGGCGGTGAGGAGAGGCAGCACGGCACCGCCGCCCCGCGCCGCCCCGCCGGAGAGGCCCCGGCCGAGGCTGCGCCGCTCTCGGGCGGGGCAAGGCGCGGCGACGCCGAGCTGCCCGCGATGTACGCGGGCGACGAGGCGGTGGCGGCGGACCCGGACGGCGCCGTCTTCCCGCGCAAGGCAGGCCGCGGCGGCGGCGGCGGCCGCCCCGAGGAAAAGAGGCTGCAGCGCGTGCGTGAGGACGAGATGATGCCGCCGCGCCGCCGCGCCGCACAGGGGACGGACCGCCGCGCCACAGCCGCTGTGGAGCGGCTGCGCGCTTTCGGGGGCGACGGCCAGGCTCGCTGAGAGAGGCCCGCGCCGGAACGCGGAATAGAAAGTTGGTAATACTATACTAATAGAGAGGACGCGCTGGGCGGGAGACCGCGGCGGAGAGCGGCTCGTCCGACCGGCTGGGGGAGAGGGAAGGGGGGGAATGATGGGCGGAGAGCGGCTCGTCCGACCGTGCCCCCCCCCCTCAGATGCGGGCGTAGCGCGAGACGTCGACGGGGACGACAACCACGGTGGGGCGGGCCGAGGGCTGCACCGCGAAGGGCTTGGTCTGCCACCCCTCGTGGAGCTGCGCCTCGCGCCGGTTCAGGTCCATCGCCGCGGCGAGGTTTGCAATCGGCAGGTTGGCGCAGCCAGGTGCGCAAGGCGACGGGGGCGGGTGGCACGAAGCGAGCGGCTTCTGGTACTGGGCCACGAGCACCTCGAGGAGCGCGGGGACCGGCCGCCCCGCCACGGTGTAGGCGCGCGCCGCGCCCACGAGGTGTTGCGGAGAGAACTGGAGGAGGGCGTCGCGCGCGCGCACGAGGACGCGTCGGACGGAGCGGAGGCTGGAGAGGTCGAGGGCGTTGATGCGGAGGTCGTTCATAATCTTGTCGATGGCGAGGATCGCCTCGACCGCCTCGGCCAGCGACGTGTCCTCCGGCCCCGGCTCCTCCTCCTCGAGCGCAGAGGCGAGCCCAACGGCGTCGAGCGGCTCGAGGTCGTTGGGCTCCTCGGCCAGCTCGTCGAAGATGTCGTAGAGGGCGTCCATCGTAGAGCGGGGCGAGCCCCCCGCGCCGAGGAAGCCCGAGTCGTACGCGCCCATCTGCTTGGCCATCTTGTTCTCGTTGGAGCGGTTCCTCTCTTGACTCGCAAGGCGCCGACTGCGCGGGGGAGGGGGGCTGGGGGCGTCGGGGGGCAGGAGGCGCGGGGGCGGGGCGGGGCGGGGGGGGGGCGCGCGCGGGCAAGATTCCGCCCCCTCCTTCCGGGGCGGCGGCCAGGGGAGCGGGCCACACACCTCAACCCAAGAGCGACTCTTTCCGGAGCTGGCTGAGCCTCGAGGCAGGGGGACACACCGTGTTCCACACCCCACCGTGTCCCCCCCCCTTGTGTCCTCGAGCCCACCCTTCCTTCCCCGTCTCCCCTTATCCAGCCCGCCCGCTCAAGACGGGGAAGAATGTAACGCAGGGACGACTGACACAGGAGGGGCCTGCAACGACAGCCGCGACCCGGTCGAGCAGCTCGACTCGTCCTCGTGCTGCCGCTGGAGAGGTTTAAAGATGCCCTGCAACTATAAGCGCGTTTGCTACGAGGCTGATCCGGGCGTAACGCCAGCACAGCGAGGCGCCCACGTAGCCGTCCGAAGTCGCGTCAGGTTCGCTCGACACGCTAGCGGAGCGGTTGGCGAGGCTAGTGGTGGCCATAGTCTGGTCCCCTAGGGGGTCGATGGGTCGGCCCGCGCCCTCCTTCCCAAGCCGCGCCGGCCGTCGCGCGCGCCGCTTCGGCGTCGGGCCCGAATCCAGAGCTGTGGCTAGGAGGGCGATGCGAGCCGAGCCATCGACCCACCTACCGTCTCGTACACCGCATGCCACGCACTTCTGCACGTCGCGACAGCCGCGTCGTGCAAATCCCACGTGACTTCACCCCATTGCGCGCGGCGCAGATAGCGAAAATGACCAACGCGCCCTCTTCTGCCTCTGACGACGACCGCGCGTGGCGCACCTCGGCTGCTCGCCGACGGTGAAGCAGAACAGCAACTCAGGCCGGTGGTACATCGAGTGCCTCTACCGCAAGTCGAAGACGCACGTCAAGATGTCGCTCAACAGCCTACGCTCCAGAGGTGGGTCGCCCGCTCCACGAACCCTCCCTACGGCGCGGCCCCCTTCGAGCCGCGAAACTTTGGCACGCAGGCCGCAGCGCTGGCGGCAGCTCCACGCTTCATAGAGTGGATCGTTGACGGCTTCGCCAACCTGGGCTCTGGCGGCAGCACCTCCACCCCGATGGACGCTGGACGCGCTGTCCTCTGGCGGTGTGTGTCGTAGGGTACTGCTATAACTGCTTCATGTACTTGCGCGCGTACGCACATGGGGCGCACGACGGATCATTCCGCGCCTGTGGGAGCGCTGGCCGTGCACGGCACATGGGGTCGGTGTGTGTGCGCTCGCGAGAGAGAGATGGGTGTGTGTCCTTGACACTCTCGCTCCGGGTGCCTCGAGCGAGAGAGGAGGGGGAGACGCCGCGCTGGGTATTAATCAGAGTGTTAGTCAAATAATCCTCGCACACCACGACTCGCGCATAAACCACGACTCGACCCACAGGGAGAGTGCGTGCGCTGCGACGGACCCAGCCGGCACCGGCAGTGCGGACACAGTGCGAGACTGCGAGTCGTGCGATGACTACCGACGCACAAGCACACCACGCGACGTAGTCTGCAACACCGCGCGGCTGGACACCACACACTTCACCGGCAGGACTCACTGGGTCGGACGCACGCGCCGGTGCAGCGGAACCGAAGATACCGAGAAGCCCGCCCGAAGCCCCGAACCATGTGCTGTGGTCGCTGCCACGCCAACCGCGCGGCCGGCCCGGGCGCAGGCCGTGACGACTGATCGCGGCGGCAGCGCCGCGCGCCCTCGTGCAGCGGTGCGCGCCGCTCGCGCCGCGCCAAGGGAGGTCTTCAGCCTGCGGCACGCTCGCCCGCAGCGCTGCCGGGCGTGCCCATCAAAATGCGCCGCCGCTGGACGTCTCCGCCGCCTCCAAGGCGACCGACGCCACGAGTGATATGCGTGACGCCACCGTGAGACGTCTGGACGGCTCGCTGCGACCTCAAGGCCAGCCTCGCCGCCCGCCGTGAGCGCCAAAAAAGCGTCAACCGCACAACCGCGCAACCGAGAGAGAGCGACTGAGACGCTTCAGCGACCCGCCAGGAGCCGGGCCGAGGTCTGTCCGAAGCCGCATGCCGCTCGAGTCGGTCGCCCGGGGCACCCTGGGAGGCGCCCGTCGAAGCCAAAGCTGTGCTGGGGACACGGCCGGATCAGCCTCGTATTCGAAATACCTGCGTTTCCTGTACCTCAAGTATCGTAGTCTTTGTTAGTATCGAGGTCTCGTGAGTTTTGGCACTCGTAAATTCACGCGACTCGCGGCGAGCCGAGCCAGGCCACGGCGCTCGGCCTGCTGAGAGAAGACCTTCCCCGACGGCAGTGACAATTTACCCGACATCAATCTTCGACGGCAAGCTCGAGAACTGCGCCTCCAAAGTCGCCCAGATTCGCCTCTCGCGGCGCGCTGAGTTAGTATCGCCGGTGCGCCAGCCGGCTCTGCTCCACAGCAGGGCATGCCTGACTGGCTCCTGCTAGCCGTGCGTCCTGGTGGCATCCATTGCCAGCTCAGGTAGCCTCAGGAGGTCGCCTCGCGCACAACTCGGCGCCGCACAGCACCGCTCCGCGTTACTACCGAGTTAGTATCGTCGACCCACAGAGACTGCTCTTCTGTAGGTGGAGCCGACAAACGCCGGCCGGGTCGGCCCCGCCGCCCCCATCGCCGCCGCCGGGGCGGCGGCGGCCTCGGCGGGCCATCCGGCGCGCCGCGCGCCCGACGGGGAGGTGTTCACCACTCCTGGCTCCTCACCCCGCCACGCCTTCGTGCAGACGCCGTGGCACCCGCCTCAGGCGCCGCTCGGACTCGGTTGACGGCCGCCCAAGTGCTTGGCTCGTGCCCAGCCGACCGGCAGGCGATGCCCACTCGCTGCTAGGCTAATCCCGGGCTGTCAAGCGGCGGTGTGGTGCCGTGAAGGGCAGCGGTGCCAAAACTACGACTATTAGTACCGTGCGGGGGCAGTGCATTTAATTCTGTCAAAAATCGAAATGTGCTCCGTGGGACGTATTGGGCTAGGATCATACGTCCGGGAGGCCCCCCATGCGTGCCGCAACGACCCACAGTTCTGGTACCACTCTCTTCACGTTCACAGCTCTTAAGTGTGCCATAACTCCGATACCTGAGGTACAGGAAGCGACAGCCTCCAGACACACACCTCATACACACATATGGAGCCCCTCTCTCGCCCCCCTGGCGGCGGCAGTGGCCATGGCGACGCTGACGGCGGTGGCACTCGTGGGACGTGGCGGTGACACTCGTGGCCGCGGCGGCGCCTGGGCAGCAGAGAGCTGTCGCTGCAGTGCTGGCGGCAGCTGGCGGCGGCGGCTGGATGCGGCGGCTGGCGGCGGCATTGCTGGCGGCGGCCATGCGGGGGAGGCGTTGCTGTGGCGGCGATGCAGCGCTGTCCTCGCGGCTGACGTGCGCCCGGGATAGCAAGCACTGGCAGTCTGCCGGCGCGGCCGGCGCATTCGAATGCGCCCGCCGCGCCGGCAGACTGTTGGATGGCCACAGTCGCGAAAGTGGGTGAAGTCCGTGCGGCGCCGTGGCAGCGGTGGCCAGGCGGCCCCTCTCGGTGCGCCACCGCGACCGCGTTGCGCTCTCGCGCCTCGCCATGCTGCAGGCTGGACGAGGGACATTTGTCGCGACTTTCAATAGGGAAAACGGAACGCATCTTGAATATGCCTGCAGGGCATCTTTCGAGGGACATTTGTCGCGACTTTCAATAGGGAAAACGCAACGCATCTTGAATATGCCTGCAGGGCATCTTAAAAATTCGTCTTCTCCTTTCGCCTGCGGAAACGTTTTTATAAAATGAACTCGGGGGCACAGGACGCGGTACAAACGCGGTACACCAAAAGGCACGGGCTGCCTGCACGGCGTTCACTCGAACGCCATGCACATGGCGCGGAGCAGCATCGGGTTGGTGTCGAACCCGAGCGGGTCCTCCTCCCAGTCCCGGTGCCCACCCTCCGCGTCATCCTGCTCATCGTGCGCGTCGAGCACCCTGCCGAGGCACAGGATCGTCCCCTTGGGAACGCCTGCCCCTCGCGCGCGCGGGAACTCTCCCTGCACCGCCATCACGAACTTCTCGCGCGCCCACTTGCCGCCACGGCGGCAGTGTTGGGGCGCGCGCTCGCGCAGCTCCTCGTAGAGCTCCTCGGCCCTCGCCACCTCCGCCGCCCAGCCCTCCGCCGACGCCTGAGCCGACTTCTTCTCCCTGAGCGTCTTGAACACCGGCGGCGGCGCCGGCGATGGCGCCACCTCCGGCTCGCCCGCCGCCTCTGCAGCGCGCCGCCCCTTCCTTGCCTTCTCCTTGAGCCGCTTCCTAGCGCTCTTGGTCAACGCCGGCGCCGCCGCCGCGGCCTCGCCGGCCGCCGCACCGGCGATGGATGTCGAGGGGATGATGAAGATGATGAAGCCGTTGTCGCGTTGCAGGCGGGGCGGAGAGTGTCGAAAAAAGAAGTGACCCTGTCCGTTGTGCCAGCGCAGCCTGGCGCAGACGCCAGGCCGCGCAGGGGCGCGGCCAATGCCGCAGCCTCCCCGCTGCCCGTTTCGGGCTCCTCCTCCTTCGCCGCCTCAGCCACCTCTGCCGCCGCCTCCGCCGCCGCGCGAGCCGCCGCCGCGCGAGCCGCCGCCGCGCGAACCGAGTCGCGAGCCAAGATCTTGAACTCCCTCTCGCGAGCCGCCGCGCAGACTTCCGCCCAGGAGCGCACGTCCCGGCAGCTGCGCACGTCCCGGACATCGCCACCATCCCGGCCGCGACGCGCCTCGATGTCCTCATACGCCCGCACCGTCGCCATCGCCGAGGGCAAAATTGAGGAAATCGGCACGATACCCAGGTATTTTCCAGGTATACCGGGGTTTTCCAGGTATACCCGCAAAATACCCGGTATTTTGCCGATTTTGGCCCCAAAACAGCCTCAGACACGGCTCAGAGCCCCCCCAAAATGACAAATTCCACGGAGTTTCCCCGGGGTTTCCCGAGGAAACTAGAGGGTGTTGTAGGGAAACAAGCAGGAAACACGGAAAGGAAACCAGGTAGGGTGCGAGAGGAAACCCTCGGACAGGCCAACCCTTCCTTCCCCGTCTCCCCTTCTCCAGCCCGCCCGCTCCTTTGCTTTTTTCGGCAAAGACGGGGAAGAATGTAACGCAGGGACGACTGACACAGGAGGGGCCTGCAACGACAGCCGCGACCCGGTCGAGCAGCTCGACTCGTCCTCGTGCTGCCTCTTGAAGGTAGTATCGGAAAAATAAAAAATCGCGCTCGTTGGTCGACACCGCTCTGAGCATGTCCATCCAGCGCCGCACGCCGCCCGCGCACTGGGGCAGCGACCCGACCTACCACGCGTACGCCAAGGTGCTCGTCGCTCAGGCGCTCACGATCGCGCTGGCCAACGAGCCGGTGCCGCGCGAGGGCGGCGGCGGCGGCTGCGGTCAGCACGTCTGGTGGCTCGGTGCGCGCGCCGTGCACCTCTTCTCGGTCTGCGGCGTCGTCGTCGAGAGCTACCGGCGCGACAGCAGCAGTCACTTCATGATCGACGACTCGACCGGGTTGCTGCCGTGCATCTGGTGGGACGGCGCAGCCACAGAGGCCGGGCCGTCGAGGCAGCCGCGGGCGGCGCCTCCGCTCGGCGCATGCCTGCACGTGCACGGGAGCCTGTCTTACTTTCGCGAGTCGCGGCAGCTGCGCGTCGACTGCGCGTGGCCCGAGCCCGACCCGCTCGGCGAGCCTCTCCACTGGGCAGAGGCGCAGAGGATGTGGGAGGCGACATACCACCGAGCCTTCCGATACCCGGGCGCGGCGGTGGCGCCGCAAAGCGCGCCGGCTGGGCTGGCCGAGGGAGCGGTCGAGCCGGCAGCGGGCGCCGTGTCGGGCGAGGCGGCTGTGCGGCGGCGCTTCGACGAGTTTGTCGCCACCGCCGTCCGCTCTCGCCCTCCCGCCCGCCGCCGCGCCCGCGTTGCGCAGCGGCTGCCGCCGCCGCCCTCTGCGCCTCCCGCCCCGCCCGGCCCCGGCCTGAGCCCGCGGCGCCGCCCCCGGCAGGTGAGCGACGGGTGCGAGGCGCTCGCGCGCGAGGAGGGTCGCGCGGGCGCAGTGGGCGTCTCGCTCGCGGAGCTGCGGAAGTCGGTGCGCGCGGGCGGCTGGCAGGCTCGATTGGCCGACCTCGAGCCGAGTGTCGAGCGGCTGGTGGAGGGGAGCCTCCTCTACGTGGCGCATGACGGCGGTCCGGCCGGCAGAGACCGTCTGTATCGGCCTGTCGGCCCGTGACACGTTCAGTGAGGGCTCCGTCCTCCGAGGGCGGCCCGCGGTGCAGACGTGGGTCCAGAGACGGTGACACCTGGGGCTGAGTTTACGTTTCTTTCTGTACGTGAAAACATGCGCACGCGCCGTGAGGCTCTCGCTGTGCTACAATGCCAATGCGACCTGTCATCATGTGTTATTATCGTGACCCCGATCGCGTACTCCCTGCCTGCGCGTGGACCCTGCATGCCGTGCAGAGAGCTGCAGAGAAGTGAGAACGTCCTGTCCTGTGCCGCCGGAGTCTGGCCCGGCTCTCCCGGTAAATATACAGGTGGTTCGCCCCTCAGGTCAGCGACTGTGACACGCGGACGGGGCTCGAGTGCGGGTGCTGAACCTCGACCACCCTCCCCCAGCGGCACTCGTACCGGATGTTGCCCCACTCCATCGAAGTGTTGAGTAGGTTGGCGATTGTCACCGCCGGCGCGAGCGCGGACTGCATGAGCAGCGAGGAGCCGAGGCAGAAGGGCGTGAACTGGGCCAGTGACAGTCGTTGCGCTTCGGGGGAGAGATGGTTGCACATGTTTGCGATGGCCTGGACGCGACGGTCGGGCGCGTGTCGGTGAGCTTCGGGGTCGATGCTGGCGGGCGGGCGGGACGCGGCTTTGGGCCGTGGCTTTCCTCCAGGTTTCGCCGCTGCACCGCGATTGCGGCGTGGAAGGTGATGAGGAAGCCGACACAAGCTGCCAGATGGATCGCCACCGCCGGCTCGGTGAGGCGCGCGGGTCGTAGCGGCGCCTCTGCCATCCGTCTGGGTCGTTGACTGGAACGGGAGTGCCCATGTCGAGAAGTTTGGTCTCGAGCTTGGCCAAGTCGAGGACGGCAGTGCTCTTCTGATAGCCCATCATCGGGTTCTTCCAGCCTGTATTTGCTGGAGGAGATGGGAGGTTGCAGATTGGGGGCGCCTTTCCGGGACATTCAGTTGCAAAGTTGAACGAGAAGCAATTGGTAAATGCTGGATCGGTATTAAAATACTCCAAATCGCAGTACCCGCCGAACCCGTCGTCCTGCTCGATGAGCCCACCACAGGGTGGCAGCTCGGTATCGCCGTTGACGCAATTGCCCCAAATGCAGCACTTGCCCGTTGGCCCGACGTACCCCTCCGCAAAGGTCGTGCAGAAGGCAGCCTCCTTGACCTTGGCTTTGCACTCCGATGCCGACATTGCGGCCTCCCCCACGGCGCTGAACGCCCCGCCTGCCCCCTCGTACGTCTTTGCCGCCCCGGACCCAGGCCACAAGGCGCGGGTGTCCCACGAGCTGAGCGGCGTGCAGTTCCAGGCGCCCCTCGCTGAGACAGGCGCGTCTGCTGGCGACTTGAAGATTGCGGTCTCCTGAATCTTGTCATTGAGCGAGATGGCGGCAATGCAGACCACAAGGAAGGCCTGGAGCGCGTACACGATGATGCCCCAAAAGATGATTGCGCGGATCGACACCTTTGGCGGATTTTTGTCTGGTTTGAAGAGGTAGGGCGCGAGCGGTGAGGCGCGCGCGAGGGTCTGCATCATCCCTTCCTTCTTGGTGGTATCCATCCGCACGCGAGGTATTGCTGCCTCCAGTCCCTGGCGCGCGGCACGGGCAAGGGCGAGCGGGCCGGGGCCGCGGGAGGCGAGCGGACGTCCTGGATAATTACATTCGTAAGTATACGCGACCCGACCGGCCGCTCGAAGCCCTCGGAGCCCGGGGGCGGCGTCGACGTCGCGTGCTTATCAACAAAGGGGAGACTGTGTGACTGGTAGACGGGCTAGCAGTCATGTCGGGAACCTGCACCGCCTCGGCAGACATCTCACCCATAGTCAGCATACTGGCGCCCGGCCCGGCTGATGTCGTCACGGACATCTTCATGGAAACAGGCCAGGCCATGGTCGGCGACTATCGGATGGTCAACATTTGCATTGATAACAATTCGATCGATGGAAATTCAAACGCGGTGGCCGCGAAGCTGGTAGCAGGCTCCATTATTGAGGTTTGGCTAGCGTGCAACGAGCCCTTTTGCTATAGCCTTTCCCCGAATGTTCTTGTCGTGGACGCATCCATTGCCACCGCCGCCTTCGATGGGGCGGGCTTCGCACCTGCCAGGGGCTCCGACGGCAGCCAGTACGATATCTCGTGGCTGTTAGGAGAGTGCAACCCCGGAAATCCAGCCGGGCTTGATCCAGCCGGGCGCACGTCGTGCGGCACTCTCGTTCTCAATGACGACATTCCGATTCCCAGGGGGGGAAGCGCGCAGGGCGAGGTGTGCATTGGCTCCATCGTCGCACGGGCCGTCGGCATGGCTCCAAACAACGTCCATCTTGACACTCAACATGAGATATACGTGACGGCTGTCCAGCCGGCGAGCTTGCCACCGTTGGTTCAGACCACTGACGACACGTGCGATGTTCAGGCCACGGCTGCGGCATCTATTGGCCTCTTCACCTCTCTGTCCATTTTGGAGCCATCATTTGCACCGCCGCCGGGCCCCCCTTTGTCCATCGATCCGGGTTGGCCGCGCGCTCCACCGCCGCCGCATCCATTGCCCCCTCTCCCAGAGTTCCACTTTCCACCATTTCCGCCGCCGCCGCCGCCGCCGCCGCCGCCCATGCCGCCGCCACCGCTGCCGCCCTCTCCTCCTCCGCCGCCGCCACCATCGCCGCCGCCGCCTTCTCCGCCCTCCCCTCCTCCGCCGCCGCCGCCATCGCCGCCACCACCGCCACCCTCGCCCGCGCCGCCATCACAACCATCACCGCCGCCACCACCGTCGCCGCCGCCGCCGCCGCCATGCATCGACTCTTTGACAGAGGTAGGTGGAACTCCTCGACCGTGCTCCTGGCTCATCGAAAACAACTATGCGCCCTGTGGCGACGAGAGCTCCCCACCCGTTGATGCGTGCCGGCTCACGTGCGGCAGCTGCTCATCTTTGTACTCGCCAATATCTCAATACCAAGGCCTCAATCCGCACCCATCGTCATGCCCCTCCTCCCTTTGGTACGACGGCCCGGAGTGCAGCTTCTCCGTCCTCACCATCTCGCTGATCGCGGTGGCTGCGTCGCTCAGCGCCCTCGTGACGGTGCTGCTGGTCGTGATTGCATGCAGGAGGGCTCTGCGTGAGGCGCCAGCCGAATCCAGCAGCGAGGGTTCTGCGGGACGGCCGCCGAGCGCCCCTCGAGAATCGTCCAAGCGCCTCTCTGCAGAGCCTCCGGGCGACGGACTGTCTGCAGAGAGGCCATCGAGCACTGCGCCGCGGGACTCGAGGCGATGCTCTGCTGCTCTCGTGTGACTCTCTCCCCCGTGTGTGCTTGTGTGTGTATGTAGGAAGATGAAGAACAGTTAGGCTCGGACTGGACACCAGCACGGTATGAGTGGACGCAAGACTGAATGGACGCAAGACAGCGGAGCCCAGAGGGCGCTTGCTTGATAGAATAGAGAGAGGAGTCTGGTTACGTTTAAGGCGACTGATACACCGTCGCAAAACTGCATTCCTGGGTCGTGCGGAGATGTCCGAAAATGTCGGCGAAGAAGCGGCACCGGCGACACGCCGGGACGGACCTGGACCGCTCCTATTGTTCAGAACCGCCCGCGGCGGCGAGCCGCCACGGGCCCACACACAGACAGGCAGGAGCTGGGAGTAGCGGTACCAGACCGCGCCGCCAGTGAGGCGAGAGCGGCAGCCGACGACCAGCCGTCGTGGCAGTTGCTACGGCGCGATCGCAGATGCGGCGTTTGGATTTCTTTAAAGCTGAAGAAGAAATCGTCGGCTGCCTGGCCGCCGCGAACGCAGTTGCTGCTAACGGCCGCCGCCGCCGCCGCCGCCGCCGCGGGGCGCGGTTTCTTTAAATTTAAAGAACTCGCGCCTGTTGCACCCCAGGCCGCCGCGAACGCCGCTGATGCCTTCGGGGCTCCAGCAGCTGGACTTCTTCCCCAAATCGGTCGAGGAGGTGAAGGAGCGGACGCTCGGCGGCGGCTTCATCTCGCTCTGCTGCTGCCTCCTCGCGCTCAACCTCTTTCTCTCGGAGCTCACGCAGTTCCGTGCGGTGCACACCGTCGACCGGCTCGAGGTGGACACGTCGCGGGCGGCGACCGACGAGCGGATCCTCCTCAACCTCGACATATACCTGCCCAACCTTCCCTGCCCGGAGGTCGTCGCCGAGGTGCAGGACCAGTCGGGGATGCAGCAGCTCGAGGTGGCGTCCGCGCTGCACAAGCTGCGCGTCGACCGACACGGCGTGCCGATCGACGTCCCGCGCGCGGTGCTGTGGAACGAGACGGTGGCGCCCGCGTTTGCGCAGCGCAAGCTCGTCGGCCTGATGGAGGAGGCGCGCGCCCACCTCGACGAGACCCTCCACCACTTTGAGCACGAGGAGGAGGAGAACCCGCGTCTGAGTGCGGACGAGCACGCGGCGCACCGGCGCGAGCTGGCGGAGCAGTCGGCGCTGCTGCAGGGGCGGCTGCAGACGCTGGTCCGCGCCGCGGCGGCGGGGGAGGGGGCAGGGGAGGGCGGAGGGGCGGGCGGCGCAGACGCCTTCGAGGGCGGGCAGGAGGAGGTGAGGAGGATGCACGAGTCTGTGCAGGCGTCGCCGCTCGTCTCCCGAAGTGCGGTAGCCGGGGAGCAGGAGGTGATGGGGAGGATTTGAGGAGCAGGCGTCGGCGCTCTTCTCCGAGGGGCAGCGTGCGCACGTCCTGGACAACCTCGCGGCCATGCGCTCTAACATCCTCCGCATCCAGACGGCGGACAACGCCTCTCAAGCCAACCTGCGTGAGGCGGCTCTCTCTCTCTCTCTCTCTCTCTCTCTCTCTCTCTCTCTCTCTCTCTCTCTCTCTCCCTCTCTCTCTCTCTCCCTCTCTCTCTCTCTCTCTCTCTCTCTCTCTCTCTCTCTCTCTCTCTCACTGAGCAAGGTGTCACTGACCATACGAGACACACCGAGTCAAGGCGGTCTCCATCCGGCTCGCGATCCTCGACGACAACGTGCAGGGCTTCATCTCTGCAGCAGACATTGACCGGCGGGAGAGGCGCGCGCTTGCGCCGAGAGCTGCTCCTCTTTGGCGAAGGGAGGGAGTGGCACCACCCATGGGTTAGTACGCCTGCTTGGGCCGAGAGCTGCCCCTCTATGGCGGGGGGGAGAGGGAGTGGCACCACCCATGGGTTAGTACGCCTGCTTGCGCCGAGAGCTGCCCCTCTATGGCGAAGGGAGGGAGTGGCACCACCCATGGGTTAGTACGCCTGCTTGGGCCGAGAGCTGCCCCTCTATGGCGAAGGGAGGGAGTGGCACCACCCATGGGTTAGTACGCCTGCTTGGGCCGAGAGCTGCTCCTCTATGGCGGGGGGGGAGGGAGTGGGGTGGGGGGCGAGTGATATGGAGACACCATGAATGGGTTAGGTACGCCTCGATCAAGCTGCTCCTCTCCGACGTCACCAGCGTCTTTTCATCATCCGTCTTTTCTGCACACAACAGGTACGCCTCGATCAAGCTGCTCCTCTCCGACGTCACCAGCGTCTTTTCATCATCCGTCTTTTCTGCACACAACAGGTACGCCTCGATCAAGCTGCTCCTCTCCGACGTCACCAGCGTCGCGGCGGCGCTCGGCGGCGCAGAAGAGGCGCTGAAATCTCGCCATATCTCCCCACATCTCCCGTATCTCCCCGTATCTCCCCATATCTCGGCGGCGCAGAAGAGGCGCTGAAATCTCCCCATATCTCCCCACATCTCCCCACATCTCCCCGTATCTCCCCATATCTCCCCATATCTCGGCGGCGCAGAAGAGGCCCCTGCAAGCCGTTGTCTCCTCCAAGCCCCGCACCGCCACACCGCGCGGTTTAGCCCACGCCCCTTTTGTCGGAGGATAAGGAGCGGCTCAACTTGCGGCGCGGTCTCTGCGCCGGTGTCTCGCCCCTCGCTCTCACCCCGGCGCCTCTCTCTCCTTCTCGCAGGAGCGGCTCAACGGGATCGTCGCCGCGCTCGAGTCGCTGGTCGCGCCGCTGCAGGGCGGCGAGAGGGGCGAGAGGCGGCAGCAGCTCGAGGCGAAGCTGCAGGCGTGCAGCCTCCCCACATCTCCCCACATCCTCCCCATATCTCCCCATATCTCCCCACATCTCCCCATATCTCCCCACATCTCCCCACATCTCCCCACATCCTCCCCATATCTCCCCACATCTCCCCACATCTCCCCACATCTCCCCACATCTCCCCATATCTCCCCACATCTCGCCACATCTCCCCACATCTCCCCACACCTCCCCACATCTCCCCACATCTCCCCACATCTCCCCACATCTCCCCACACCTCCCCACATCTCCCCACATCCTCCCCATATCTCCCCATATCTCCCCCCCCCGGGCGCGGTGGAGGAGGCAGCAGCTGTGGACGGCGCCTCGTCTCACGCGCCGCTGCGGCGGGGTGTGTGCGCAGGCGCAGCTCGAGGCGCTGCACAAAGAGATGGCTGGAGAGGGCGACGCGGAGGCGTGCGGCTCGTGCTACGGCGCCCGCACCCTCCGCCGGCCGCAGAATTCCCGGCAGCGTGGTGAGGCTGGAGTGGGAGATGTTGTGAGCAGGCGCCGCGGCGGAGGGGTCCACACCTCCCTACATCTCCCCACACCTCCCCACATCTCCCCACACCTCCCCACACCTCCCCACACCTCCCCACACCTCCCCACACCTCCCCGCACCTCCCCACATCTCCCCACATCTCCCCACATCTCCCCACACCTCCCCACACCTCCCCACACCTCCCCACACCTCCCCACACCTCCCCACATCTCCCCACATCTCCCCACATCTCCCCACATCTCCCCACACCTCCCCACATCTCCCCACACCTCCCCACATCTCCCCACATCTCAGGCGCCGCGCCGGACGGGTCGTGCTGCAACACGTGCGACGACGTGCGCGCGGCGTACCGAAAGAAGCGGCGGGCCGCGCCTGAGATGGGGGGGAGATGTGGGGAGATGGGGGGGAGGTGTGGGGAGATGTGGGGGAGATGGGGGGAGATGGGGGGGAGATGGGGGGGAGGTGTGGGGGAGGTGTGGGGTGGGGGAGATGTGGGGGGGTGTGGGGAGATGTGGGGGAGATGTGGGGAGATGTGGGGAGATATGGGGAGATATGACGTGCGGAAGCCGCGGGCCTCGCGGTCCGATCGAGGCTACCGTCCAGACGACAGACCGTGAGCCTGAGCGGGTCGGGGTGTGAGCGGGTGGGGTTCGGGTTGTGAGCGGGTGGGGCTCGGGTTGTGAGCAGGTGGGGCTCGGGTTGTGAGCAGGTGGGGCTCGGGTTGTGAGCAGGTGGGGCTCGGGTTGTGAGCAGGTGGGGCTCGGGTTGTGAGCAGGTTGGGTTCGGGTTGTGAGCAGGTGGGGTTCGGGTTGTGAGCAGGTGGGGCTCGGGTTGTGAGCAGGTGGGGCTCGGGTTGTGAGCAGGTGGGGCTCGGGTTGTGAGCAGGTGGGGCTCGGGTTGTGAGCAGGTGGGGCTCGGGTTGTGAGCAGGTGGGGTATGCCGCCGATGAGCTCGATCCCGCAGTGCGCGCGCGAGGAGCGGCGGCGGGCCGTCT